ACATGGGGAGAATTGATGTAGGTAAAAAAATATGTCTTTTGGCATTTATTGTGGGCTGTTTTGTCTCTTGTTGGGCTTGTCCCATTAACCCTTTGCTGTTTGGTGTTTGGAGTTCTCAGCCTTGGGTTTTTTGGGGCTACCGTGCCTCCTTGGTAGCTGTTTAGCTACTGGATGCTTGGGATGGCCGTGCCTTTTTCTTGGTGTATCTTCAGCTCCTGGCTATTCCGATTTTGGCTAGTCTTTTGAGGGGGCCTAGTTGCTCGGTTTGTGGCTCTGCCGTGCCTTTTCTCTTGGGGTTTTCCTCTGTTCTGGTTGGCTAAATGGGGCGGCTGCTTTGGGTGCCTTTTGAGCTCATTTTTCCTATTTAAGGGGGCTGTTTTGCTGCTATTTAGAGGAGTTATGGACTAATTTTTGGAAAGAAAACCTGTGGGTTTTGTAATAGCTTGAGAGCTATTGTCTTCTTCTTCTTTTCTTCTTATAATTAGTCTCGAACTTCTAATCTCTTTTTTCTATCCATGATTGCCGGCTCCACATGTATCCTTCTCCTCTAAATTTCTTTAAATTGCAAGGTGTCCTTGAATCGTGTTTTATTTTAAATTATAAATGTTGTTGTGTCTTGTGAGTTGTAGCGTCGTTGTGTCATGTTTGTCGTTTACAATTATCTATAAAATGTGTCTTTAAAATTGCAATCTTAGTGCTTTTTTTATCTATGTTGTAAGAAAGGAAGTCTTTTAGTTTTTGCAAAATTTTATTTGCATCAGTCTCCTAGGTGCCTGAGAATTGTTGGAGAGCTTGTAAAAAAAACAAAAGATTAAACAATCAAATTTGAATTTATGATTTTCCAAGTTGCTTAAATGAATTATTGACCATTTAGGAGTTATTGCTCTTAAAAACTTAAGAATTCATTGTTTAAGAAAATTGAAGTGGTAGTTATTTGGTGATTGATAAGTATCACAAATTAAAAATTATGGAATAAACCAAAATGATTCTTATTAATCTATCCAAAAAGAGATAAAAGATACACCTAGTGTGGAGTTATGTAAATATCTTATATTTGCATTCCAAATAGACTATATTTGTGAATCTAACAAATGTATATAGAATGATGGAGTCACTCTCAATAACGAGTGAATTATAGAGAGTCATATGAAGGGAATGATGGAGAGGAAGAATGACATTCTGCATTTTGAGTGATATTCATATATAACTGAGTTAGCTTAGCATGTTTTATGAATGATTTCTGTCCAACCTGTCCTCATTTTATGTGTCCCATTTACCTGAGAATTTTAGTCAATTTATAAAAGAAATAAAATAGAAGATTGTCAACTTTGAATTTTTAATTTTTCTAGTTGCTCACGTGTCTTATTGATCGTTTGGAAGTACTCTTGTGTAATAGTCAATGATTCATTATTTAAAGATTATTGAAGTGGTATTTATTTTATGATGAGTAAGCATCACAACTTAAAAATAATGAAGGAACCAAAATGATTCATTTTAATCTAGCAAAGAAGTAAAAAAGGGCATATTCATTGAGGAGTTATGTAAATATCTTATCCTTGCATTACAAATAGGCTGTTTTTTGTGAACCTTACAAATGAAAAGAGGGAAAAAAAAGAGAAAAGAAGGATGAAAATGCTTAGGATGGTTGAAGTATGAATTAACATAGATATGGTGGTGCTCTTAAAAAAAATCAGCCCAATTTAGCATGATAAATGCACTTAGGCCTTGTCTAAGGATTGAATTTGACGTAGATTTGACCTAGTTTATGAGACTACAAATTGTAATAAGAAAATAAATGTAATGATGAAGCAAGATTATCAATTATTTTCAATTATCACATAAAATTGCCCTATCTCAGTTATGGATTTCACTTTGAATGGTTTGATTGAGTCAATCTTTTATTTTTAAAACTAGTCTAGCATTGGTGGATTCAATTCCAACCATTCAAAATGGAATGATTAGCTAGGATGGGGGTTATTCCATTGTGCGAACATGATTGTATTTTTCAAGAGATAGCTGAATTGAGAATATTTTTCAAATTGTCTTGAAAAAAATACTATGAAGATCAAAGCACGAATAATAGTGACCGTGTTAGTGGGAATGAATAAATTCAAGTGTATCGCTTCAATACAAATGATGATTATACCTAAAATTTTTCAATTGTCAACTTAGTAAACAAAATATGATGTATCAACATATGATTTTATTGAGTTTATTAGTTGATTTTTTTTGGCGCACATAGAATATCTCTTCCCTAAGGTTCAAAACATTAGGATTGAGCGTAATTATATTTTGGATTAGATATCATCTTTCAACTTACTTTAGAATTAAATTTTCAAGAATAAAGTTTTTTAGGTTAGTGTTTTCTTTATATACTTTGATGATGATGAGCAAGGTAATGAAAGTGGAGATCGTGGGTGACTTTTATGCATTGATTGATGAGAATGAAAGAATCTAGTGTTAAGGAAGTATCAAGGGGGTAAAAAGAAAGAAGCGTTTGAGAAGAGAAAATGAATTGAATGTCTCTAGGAGAGTGAGGTATGGGGTAGAGAGAGAAAGAAAAAGCATAGTGACCATGAGAGCAAGAATTGACCTCAATCAGCTTAAAGAAGAGAGAATGCTAGATGAAAGCCAACAACCTTCCAAATATAATTCAAGTCATTCACTAATGTACCCATAATTTTCTTGGACATTATAACATATTTACAAAAGATAATGACAAGTATGCTCGAAATAGAAAATGATCATTTTACCCCTAATAAATAATAAAATGAAAAGTGAAGACAATGACATAAACAACAACAAGCCTTTATTCCACTATGTGCGGTCAGGTACATGAATCATTTTTCTCTATTTTGTCCTATTAAGAATTAAATTCTCATTTAAATATAATAAAAATGTCTTTTTTAATACTTCTAACCAAGCCTTTTTAGGTCCACCTTTATCTTTCTTAACATAAGTTGGATCTAATACATATGCTCTCCTAATATGGTCATAAAAAAGCCAACTTTTTATGTGACCAAACCATCTAAGGCAACTCTCTTATCTTATCTGCCACTGGAACTACTACAACTTTTTCATGTATATACTCATTTTGCATTTTATTTCTAAGTGTAAAGCCACTCATCTACATGAGCATCCTCATCTCTGCAACACTTAACTTAATTTTATGCTTCTTTTTGAATGACCAACATTTTGCACCATAAAGCATTGCAGGTCTCACCACCATTTTATAAAATTTTCTCTTAAAGTTTGAGGGGCACTTTTCTATCACACAGTAGACCTGATGCATTCCTCCACTTCAACCATCCAACTTGAATTTTACTAATATTATCACCATCTATTTCACCATTAGTTTGAACTATATACCCGCACTCTTTTTAATGACATGTTACTACTAAAATTGCACTGATGTGATCGCCTAATGTCACATCCCATGCTAGATCTATTACTTCTAAAATTGCGCTTAATGTATTTAGTTTTACTGTTTTAGAACTACTCAAATGAGAACCTTTAGGCTCTAAGGTTAACCTCCATAATTCAAGTTTTTCATCAGCTTCCTCTCTACTTTTATCAACAAGAAGAATGTCATCAACAAAAAGCAACACCAAGGTACATCCTCTTGCAAATGTCGAGCAAGAACATCAATGACTAAAGTAAAAATATATGAGCTTAAAGCTGATCCTTGATTTAATAAACTAAAATAGAAAAATACTGGTTAAAACACCTTGTGTTTGAACACTTGTGAATACAATGACATAAAGATGACACAAAATAGTAATGAGTTAATATTGTATCAGTGAAGACCATAAGAAATAAAATGACAAACTAAAATTGGCTAAACTAACAAAGACAATGACCACCCTTATGACTGAAATTAACCATTTTATTGGAGAGTTGAATGGATAAAAGAGGAAGAACTTTACCTTGAGAATTAAAATGCCGCTGAAGGAATAAATGGAGGATTTAGACTATACAAATGAGGTATTGAAATCCATCCCATTGGAAATCCATCTTGAAAAGCAAAGGCGAATGCGAAATCAACTCAAATTAGAGGTGATAGAATGAGAAATTCATTTCGAGAAATATTAAAGTAATGGAAAGAACAACACCATTATTGGTAATATTATTTAGATGGTTATTGTTGTTGATCCTTAGGAATATTGTCATCATATATGGAGTGATTCTTTGGTAGTGTGGGGATTTTCATGCATATTGCTAGATTGACTTGAATTGTTCGAGATAATGCTAGGCTAAAAGCTAACTTTATTTTTTTCCAAAACTCATGGATGGGTTAGGTTAAGTAATTTTGATTAATTTTGTTGGATTGATTTGAGTTTAATTGGATAAAGATGGGTGTTGAAAAGGAGGCTTTATTAGGTAATTTATTTCTTTATTTAATGAAAAAGAGGACATGATTTCTAATGGGTGACAAAAAGGGGCTGGGAAAATGTTTTCACAAAAAAATGGTAGTAGGGGCGCTCAATTACCTTGAAGATTGATTGGATCAGGATAGAGTGGGTTTTTTTTATGCTTTAGATTTAAATATAAATTTCATTGAGTTTTGTTCATCTTTAGGAGTGTATGATGATTTGTTTGAAGGGTACTAGGATTTTGTGGATATGATTGATGTTTAAATGGAATATTTTATTCCAAGTCAACCATCCTTCTAAATGCAACGTGTATGCTATTAATTGCAATAGTGACAATTTTCGTGGGCATTTGTAACTCAACTAACACTAAGATAATGTTAAGCATGTTTAAAATGGCATTTTACCCTGACATATAATCAAACAATTTGTAAAAATGATGAATCTGGCCAAGGAATTTAGGCGTACCACACTGCATCATTCTCTTTACTTATTTTTAATATACATCCGGACACTATTCTAGCATGTCTAACCATGTATTGCAGCAATTCTCATACCTGTATTTCATACGTATTAAGTTTTATTTAATATATTTTTTCTAAATGTTTCTTGTGTTGGTTTTGGAAACAGTTAGAGGAGGGCCGAGAAAAGGAAAACAGTATTATTTTGTTCCCTCCATCTGATCAACAAGCACAGGAACTTCATATGCTGACAATGATTCAAGATCTTGCCGCTACATTGTTGATGGAGTTTGAAAAATGGGTTCTTCGTGCAGAATCTACTGGTACTATATTGAAGACGCCCTTAGATTCCCAATCCAATTTAAGCTCTGAGGAGGTTTGATCTTGATGTGATTTCAGTAGTTATATGTAGTATGGTTCTCAAGTTATTTAAAAGAAGACCATGGAGTTCTTTTAGGTTTCAAAACCTCTGAGGTTAGTTAAGCTGGTTTTATTGATAAACTTCAGGTGATAAAAGCTAAAAAAAGGAGGCTTGCTCGAGCACAGAAAACTATAGGGGATTATTGCTTATTAGCAGGATCGCCTGTTGATGCAAATGCACATTTTGTTACAGCCATAGACCTGGCCAGGTTGACTGGAGATGTTTTCTGGCATGCTGGTGCTCTAGAGGGCAGTGTTTGTGCCTTGTTGGTAGGTAAAGGAGATCATTAATGCTGCTTTACTACATTTTACATTGGGAACTTTTTCATGCTAAGGAGTTTTGTAATGTCTGAGTGAATAGGAAGTGTTCTTGTTGGAGTGAATAGGGAAGTGTTCTTGTTGTTCATTTGAACTGTCAATTCTTTGATTAGTTATTTTTGTTTCCCTAATGGGTTAACACTTCTAGTTATTGACTGAGATGGGGGATACTGTTTAAAAACATTGTTGATGGTTGCAAATTTAAATCCTAAACTGCATGATGGCTTGACTTTCCGCAGTATGCAGGTTGATCGGATGGATGAAAGGGATTCTCTTTTAGAGGAGGAGGTGAAGTATCGCTATTACACTGTCATTCAACTTTATAAGAGATCATATTTACAAGATAATGCACAGAGGTAGCTAACAGTTGACCTGAACATATGTAGACTCTTGTTTTATTTTAGAGAAATCATTCAATGAAGCCCCACAAAGAGAGGAATAAATTAAACCAGAATAAGAATTGTAATGCTTCTCACGTTTGTGCATTTAAATTGTACAGAAACCGATTAATAAAATACATAATGCATAAAGGTTGCATTATATTTTTCAACCATTTTCACCCATGCCTCCATCAAATGCATATATTTTCTTTGTTACTACTTACTAGTTTAGTGCAGATTCATGGACATAGCATATTGTTCTTACGTTTTGATTTTGAGGCTTCAGTGTATAAAATTAGTTGCTAGGGTGCAGATCATGTTAGCTGCTGATTGATACTAGAAGCAATAGTGCTGACTTTTAGCATGTATGCTGTTTTGGATTGTTATGCATTGAATTGCTCCTGGTGCATGATTTCAAAAGCATTTTTCTATGAATTATTAATTTTTCCTATATCTTATGTAACCATTTTTGTATTAAGAATGTTTAGCCATATACGATTGGATATAGTAAAATTCATATTGATTATTTTGTTATTAGAAAAATAGATCGTTTAGATTGCAAAGATTGTAAAGTTATTCCGAGTGACAGTTTATGTTCCTAGCATCGCTTATTAATTTTGGACTTTAAAATTAAGGATGTCAATATTTGACACAACTCGAAACCCGACCCGAAAAGTCGAAAGCAACCTAAAAATGACCCGAGTTGCGCTCGCTTGCTTCTCACGATCACGCTTGCACGCTCACCATCGTGCTCTCGCACTGTCGCACCCTCGTTTGCGTCGCGCTCGCACCCATGCTTGCATACGCGCTCTCCCTCTTGCGTTGCTTGCCTCGCGGCTTCGCCCATGTGGCCTAGCTGTAATGCCCAAAAGTTCTATGAAAATAATTTTTTTTAAAATTAAACTATATCCCCAAATATTAACTTCTACTAAAATTGTAAAAAATTATTTCATTGTATTCTGCTCGTCAATTGGAGCAAATTGATATATAACACTATATGTTAATTTGTTAGTGTGGGAAGTTATCGCATTAATTTGATTTCTTAATTTTTCATTAAGTTTTTCTTATAACTATTGTTAAATCATTAAATCTTTATAGACTGTTATATTTTACCTTATAAATACTATTGTTAATATAAGTACTGTTATATAAGTATAGTTAATAGTCTACTACTATTAAATTGTGATTAAACAATACTAATTTTCCATTGACATCATTAAATTAATATTAAGTGCAATAACACTAGCCTTCCACTAATCAAAGCATGTATTAGGCTCATGACGATCAGATGGCTATGAAGGTTTTAAGCATTAACATTTAGCTTTGTGGTGTAAGCTTCTCCCATTCGAATTTCATTAGTCAAGTTCTGCTTATGAGATTGATGCAAATAACTAGATAGAAAAATCAAAACGGAGAACACAATGACTAATAGAACTTTCTCAATTCAAATTAATGTAGACCAACACCAAACACACCTCAAAACAAACAAAAGTTAGACAAAAAAAATAAAAATTAAAAATAAGAAAAACTATCCTCAGAACAACCAACAAGTGGTCACCTTACATGCATCGAATTAGTATGAAAAAGATAAGTGTTCAAAGACATGCAAACCAGAGGTCCACCACAACAACTTGGGCCAACGTCCACCACAAACTCCTCCAGCAAATGCTATCAAACCGGCCAACCAACACCTTCAAAAGCTTGAGAAGAAAGATACAAGTGGGGTGGAAAGTTGTGGAAAGAAGTAGGTAAGAAGCCCAAGACGAAATCAAAGAGAGGAGAAGAGAAGTGGAAATAGCTCGCAAGCTTTCCAAGAAGAAAACCCTTAGTTTTAAGTAGTTTTCACTTTCCAAAGTCAGCTCCAAAATGTCACAAATCAGTTACTATATATAGGAGATGAGAGGGAGCCAAACAGCCCAAATAGTCGCCCATACTATCCAATTAGCAATTGGGAGCAGAAGGCCAATAGGTTGCCGAATGGAGCTGCACCCAAACGGCCAGCAGGACAACCAACGAATAGCTAGCAGCAGCTCACAAAATAGGTAGCAAAAACCCGAAACCACCAACGCAAGGAGCTTGGGTCAAAATCTAAATCAGCCCACAAGCCATGACACCAAAAAAAGCTAGCACACCAAAGGCAAGACATGTCAAAGAGCACAACCTACACATGATCATTGGTTGCCTTCCATCATAGGGTAGAAAAAAAAAAGAAATAAAACATAAAATTCAAATTACAAAATAGTTCAACAAAAAATAAAAAACTAAAATGAAATCTTTTGCATCAAAGATTCTCTGGAGCAAAAGCAGGGTTCTTGGGTTCTGCTGTGTTGAAGTCGGTTGGTGCAGGAGAGCTGTGGAAGCAGGGGGAAGAATTTGGTGAGGGTGAGCTGCTTGCTTCGTTAGAAGTAGAAGAATAAGAAGAAGAAAAAGAAGAAGGAAAAAGAGGGTAGTAGGGAAGAGAGATCAGAGGTGAGCATTTTGATTTTTTTTATAATAGTTGTACTATTGGTTTTCTAATATTGGTAATATTCTTAAAGGAGATTTTACCCAATTGTTATTTAGGATTTTAACTGGTATATGAGGAGAAGAGGTTTTGGTTGCAAGGTAAATTATGATTTTAGGATAAATTGAATTGAATCAATTTATTTGAAAAATGATTTTGATAGGAAACACTTGTGTTCCCAAGTGTTTCTCACCAAAACTGAAGTTGATCCGATGGAAATTGCTGTCCACAGCAGAAATACAGCAGAAATCTGCTGTTTACAGCAGAAAAACAGCAAAACGATACGGAAATCTGAGAGAAAACTCAAAGAAAAGCTTGTGATCTACTAGTCGATGAATAAATTAGCAAGATACAATTGATCCTCAATTCGAGAGGAGGATCGTTCTCTCCCAAATCTCTGGCAACACCAAGAGCCCAAAGAAACCTAAATCTAAGAGATCTCAAATTTCAGCCAAATTCAAGATACTCAAACCCTAGAAAAAACAACTATTTAATGCATACAAATCAAAAGGAATTCCCTAAACAAGAT